ACACCTAAAGGCATCTCTGTGGATCCTGGCAAGGTGCAGGACATGTTAAATTGGAAATCTCTAAAGTCAGTGCATCAAATTCGTTAGTTCCTTGATCTTGCTGGGTATTATCGGCGCTTCATCCCTAATTTTTCCAAAATAGCTCAACCAATGACCAAGTTGCTCCAGAAGGATATCAAGTTTGTATGGAGTCCGGCTTGTGAAGAAGCTTTCCAAGCTCTGAAGAAGTTTCTTATCTCTACTCCTGTTCTTGCCCAACCAGATATTGATAGGCCCTTTGATATGTATTGTGATGCCTCTAGGACTGGACTGGGATGTGTGCTTATGCAAGGCGGACGTGTGATCGCTTATGATTCACGTCAGCTGAAAAAGCACCAGTTGAATTATCCCACTCATGATTTAGAGCTGGCTGCAGTGGTGCATGCTCCAAAGATTTGGAGACATTACCTGTTGAGAAATAAAGTGCATATCTACATGGATCACAAGAGTCTCAAATATATTTTCACTCAATCCGAGTAGAATATGAGGCAACAAGGGTGGCTCGAGTTAATCAAGGATTACAATTTAGAAGTTCATTATCACCCTAGAAAAGCTAATGTGGTAGCTGATACCTTAAGTCGGAAGTTGCATCAAGTTGAAGAAGAATCTTTGTCTCTCAACCATTCTGAGGTGTTAGACCATATTGCCCTAGTCTCGGATTTATTTGAGCAAATTATTATAGAGCAAAGGCAAGATGCTTCAAAAATTCCACATATCAAGAAGTTAATTATCGAAGGGCGTGGTCCTCATTTTAGTGTTGATGATCAATATGTGGTGAAGTTCAAGTACCGATTGGTAGTTCCCTCAAGTGATGAGCTTAGGAAAAAAATTTGGATGAAGCTCACAACTCCAAATTATACATTCATCCGGGAAGTAATAAGATGTATCATGATTTGTGTCACTTGTATTGGTGGCTAAATATAAAATAGGATATTACCAAATACATCTTGGAATGTGACATTTGTGGAAGGGTTAAGGCGGACCATATGCGTACGCCTGGATTTTTACAGCCTTTGCCTATCCTTGTTTGGAAATAGGAGGATATTTCCATGGACTTTGTTGTGGGCTTGCCCCGCATGGCAAAGGGGTATGATTCTATTTGGGTCATTGTGGATCACCTCACCAAGTCTGCTTATTTCCTCCCGGTGGATACAAGGTATTCAGCCAAGAAGTAGGCCAAGCTGTATTTTGATCGGATTGTAACCTTACATGGAGTTCCTCTTACTATTGTTTTCGATAGAGGGTTAGTCTTTGTCTCTCGTTTCTGGGAGCAACTCCAGAAATGTCTTGATACTCATCTCCTCAGAAGTTCAGCTTATCATCCGTAAACTGACGGTCAGATAGAAAGAGTCAATCAAGTACTTGAAGACATGTTGAGAGCTTGTGTCATTTCTTATCCAAAAAAGTGGGACGAATGCTTGACTCTAGCTGAGTTTTCTTATAACAATAACTATCAAGAAAGCATTCGTATAGCACCTTTTGAGGCCCTGTATGGTAAGAAATGTAGAACACCTCTTAACTAGGTTGAAGTGGGTGATCATGGTTATTTTGGACCTAATTTTATCAAAGAAGCAAGAGAACAGGTCAGTGTTATTCAGAGTCATTTGAAAGCAACTCAGAACCGTCAGAAAGCTTATGCGGACAAGCGAAGAAGACCCTTGCAGTTTGAAGTTGGTGACCATGTGTACCTAAAGGTATCCCCGATGAGAGGTGTGCATCGGTTCGGAGTCCGTGGAAAGTTAGCTCCTCGTTAAGAAATAGCTCTTGCGTGACTAATTTGGTTTGAGTAACCTTGTTAGTCACATTGTTTAGATTGTGTAGCTAAATAATTTACGCTCTCTAATTTAGTTTGTGTAGTCTTGTTATTTAGCATTGCTAGTGAGTTTATGTGGCTTTGTGCTTTTGCTTACTAGATTGTGTAGGTGCTCTCCGGTTTGCTTGAAGTACTAGTTGTATAGTTTTATATGACCTTGCAAGCTATAATTAGATAGGTGAGCACTAGCTAGCCCGACATCTTTGTTGTCTCTTTAGGATTTTTATAAGGTGCTTGTGAACTTAGATAGAGGGGTGTAGTCTTGGCTAAATCGATAGTTTAAATTCTGCATTTGTTTCAGTTAGCCGACGCGATTAAATTTTAGAAAAAACTATTCATCCCTCTCTAGTCCGCCATCTCAACCCTACCGATGGTCGAAAGGGTAAATAAGGAGGCAAGCAACCGTTGCATTAATATAATACGTATAGCCAGAAACGGGTATCATTTATTGCTTGCTTCCGCAATATTGGCTTCAAATTGAAGATTGCAGTCTCATTGGCTTCCGAATTAGTTCAATGGCTATAATCTAGGTGGGGATGATATGTAAATGATTCTACAAACAGGAAAAGGGGGAAGGAAGGTCCAGATGCTTGCTTGACGACAACAACAGAAACCGTAATTTCAATAGCAATTGCATCATCAAAAGATAGGAAAGGAGATCCAATTTTCTTCCCATATGAAGGAATTACATTCAGCTCATATGAAGAGGCCAAGGAGTTCTACAACTTGTATTCATGGAAAATTGGGTTGGGAATAAGGATATCAAGATCGAAGACGAATATCATTCAGTACACCACAGGAAAGGATATAGTATGCTCCTGCGAGGTAAATAAAACCCAGAAAGATTCATGCATCGAGAATTAATATAAAAAGTAGCCGAACAAAATGAAAAAGTGAACAATCTTAACTTTATCTATGTCTTTTATACAGGGTTTCTACCAAAACCCAAGAGCAGCAAGTGCTAGAACTGGATGCAAAGCTATGTTGAGACTCCATGGAACAACCAACCACTCTTGGATTGTGAGTAAGATAATCTCAGAACACAACCATGCCCTTTCAGAAACCTATGGTGAGAAGAAATAATGGGGCTCACACGGCGATATAGATCCACTAACAAATGATTTCATCAAGAGATTGAGAACAAACAACGTTACGCTTGGTCGTGTATGGAGCATAATCGGAGTATCCTCTGCAGATTCTGCATTACCAATCAGAAAGCAAGCAGTTAGAAACCTTTGCGCAGGATTAGCACAGGATGACATCAAGGAGGATGTAAAGAAAACAATGGAATTACTAGAGCAGATGAGCCGACATGACAATGATATGAAGGTCAGATTCCAGAATGCTGCAGACGGGAGAATACTAAATATGTTGTGGTGCTCCGGGAAAAATCAACAAGATTACGAGCACTTTGGAGATGTTGTAACTTTTGATACTGATGTACAGGACAAACCTGTACAACTTACCGTTCGATATCTTTGTGGGGTTTAACATTTCCCAGCATCAATTGTGATTCACAACTTCAAATAGCCCACTATGTCGACTAGTGGGAGGTGCCTAATCGGTGCCTTTGGGACTAGTCCCTCTTTGGTTACACACTTGCAACTTCGTTGTTTTATTTATTCATTTTTATCGATGTGTTCAATATGCTTGTAGTTATGGATAGATCACCCATGCACATGTTTGTCACAAACCTTTTGCTATTTAAAAAAAAAATAAAGTATACCTTAATTTATCTAAATATCTAATAGTCGCATAACACAATTTGCTACAAGTCGCTATAAAAGGCCCAAATCCAGTGTCGATCACTGAAAAAAGTTATTGTGACTTTTAGGTCACCGTTTCATTTTTAAGCTCCCAGTATGCCACTACCATCTATGTATTTTAGCTAAAACAACAACTAACATGAGTATGAAATGTCTATTTTACCTATGTTGTTCCATCCTCCTCTTTCTATCTTCCTAGATTCTCCTCTCTTCTCGCGCCGTCCTGCATCTCGTGCCTGCTCATGACTGGGAGGGGACGGCGGCGCAAGGATAGGTGGCCATGACCACGGTTGCCAATGAGAGCCCTTTCGGAATGGAGGTGAAACAAAGAAAAAATGTAAGATTCATATTCGCTAGGATTGAAGTACTGTAGCCGCATTTTGGTTCGTAGGAAGCTCCATGTAGGAAAAATAGAGGAAAAGTTCGTACATGGCTGATTCTATAGGGAAAACACAGGAAACTTCCCATCCAGTTCAACCTTTTTTTTTCTCCCACGCATAGGATCGAGGCAAACAACTCTGTCATCCTTGCAGGTGATCTTACGTAGGATGGGTCAGGCTCTCAAATCATAGATTGATAGGTGGGGCCTAGGTTGCTTGATCCTTGCATATGATTGATTAAGCCCTTGTTTAGTTGTAGGAATTTGGATTTTGGGGCTACTGTAGCGCTCGTTTTTATTTGGCAAATAGTGTTCAAACATGGACTAATTAGGCTCAAAACGTTCGTCTCGTAATTTCCCACCAAACTGTGCAATTAGTTTATCTTTTCGTCTACATTTAATGCTCCATGCACGGGCCGCAAACATTCGATGTGACAGGTACTGTAGCAACTTTTTGAAAATTGGGGTGGAACTAAACACGCTGTAATAACAAAAGTGATCTACCACTAACTTGTATCTAGAAACCCTATGTTTTTCGGTTCGCCATCCAAACAACCATACTCACTAAATTCCTCCGTTTTTAAATCCTATGTTTTACACATGTATTCCTATCATATTTCTATATTTTTTCTATTCCTTTATTTTTTTAATCCTGTGTTCCAAAAGGACCATGAAAATAAAAACAGTACATACTGATCCCCCGGTGATTTCCGTCTCCTAGGGGCCTAGCCCATCAGCACACGGCCCGACGACACCTTCCGCGGGTTGCAACTTGCCAAGGCCCACGCGCACGCATTGTGGGTCTCGTCTCATTGCGACATTGCGTCCCCACCAGACAGGGCCACAACATGCGATGCCGGTGCCGGACACGAAGTCGCCAACCGAGCGAGAAACCACAAGTTTTTGCCAGTCCTTTTCGATCCCAGCCGTTAAAGACGCCACGCCGCCTTCCACACGGCCCAATCCAAACCAAACTAACAAAACCCTACGTACCGAGCACACCATGGGCGGCGGCATAGGCAGGGCCAGGGGCACGGCGAGCCTCGCGTCCGCCGACCTGGTCCTGAAGGCGGCGTGCGAGCGTTGCGGTGCCGCGTCGGACCTCTACCTGACGTCGTGCCGGCACACCACCTTCTGCTCCGACTGCGGCAAGACCTTGGCGCGCGCCCGCGGGCGCTGCACCGTGTGCGACGCCCCCGTTACCAGGCTCATCCGGGTACGGGCCCCGCGCCGTCTCTAATGCAGATTTTCGTTAGCAATCGGGCGAGCAATGCAGATGCAGCTCATCATCGTTTCTCCTCCCCCCCCCCCCCCCCCCCCCCCGGGATTTTCCGTTATTCACATGGATCGCTGCGCAGGAGTTCGATGTCCGGGTGGATACCTCCGCGGAGGAGAAGACCCACTCTATCGGCAGGTTCACCACCGGCTTGCCGCCCTTCTCGAAGGAGAGGAGCGCAGAGAACAGGTGGACTCTTCGCAAGGATGTACCCCAAGGACGGCAGCTTACTGGGAATATGCGGGTACTGCCTTTTGATCGTGGATGATCACCATTGTCATTCATTTGCTTTGGACAACCTGACAATGTCACTCAATTGATATCCTTAATCATACATAAAAACTGTATATAATAAAACAGTGTAACAATGGTGAACCTGTGTAAATTCTAACTAATTACAATCAATCTAAATAGCACTGTAGTTATTACAAAGTAGTTATGCTGCATCAGACATCTCGTATCAGTTGCAAATTAGCAGTATGCAGTTGACAAATATATTGCTATAAGATCTTTGTGCAATAGCAACTTAAGGACAATAAGCTGATGTTTCCCCTGTTAAACCATGTGCACACATTTGATAAAAACAGGACAAGCACTACAGCAAGAGGCCATGGATTTTGGAGGATGAGACTGGCGAACATCAGTATCAGGGCCAAACTGAGGATCCACCTGCCACATACTATTCACTGACACTGAAAGGCAAGGACATGATTGCTGTTCAAGTTGGTTCCTGGTACTGTTCTCTCTGCTTCCTCTGTTATTATTACTCTTTAAACGAACTGTGATCATATATCCATCATCTGAACATACATACTTGTAAGATTCAAGCACCATTGAGTGTATAGGTTTCATCAAGTCTTGACATTACTAATTCTGTGGCAGAAAGCTCCTAATATCATTTCTTTTGAGATGGGTGCTCTCTTATTTTTGTTAGAGCATTCTTACAGTCTCTCATGTCCTATCAGGTACAACTTCAGTAAAATTGCACAGTACAAACAGCTGACCTTGGAAGAAGCTGAAGAGAAAATGAATAGAAGGAGAAGTAGTGCATTTGGGTATGAACGGTGGATGATGAAGGCAGCTACAAATGGAGCTGCTGCCTTTAGTTCAGGTGTGAACAGGCTTGATGATGTAAATAGAGGGGCAACAAATGGTGTTCACCCCAAGAAAGGAGATAGGAATGAGAATGGAAATCAATCTGACAAAGTTGACGATGAAGAAGGGGGCGCTGCAAGGAAAAACAGGCTTGGGATTACAATGAAGGGCATGGACGAGGACGACGAGGAAGATGGAAAGGACATAGACTTCGATTTGGATGATGAAATTGAGAAAGGTATACATATCAAATACTACCTTTTGTTAATACTGAGATTTTATGAATTTCTGCTTGCACTTATACAGCACATACTTTAGTGTCATTCCTCAGAACTACTCACAGTTTCACACCTGAATGAAGAATGAAAAGGCTGCATACCATATTTCCATACCCATATTATCAGACTTCAATTTAGCATGCATCTTAGCTTGATTCTGCAACCTTTGTTTGTCAGGTGACGATTGGGAGCACGAAGAGACCTTCACTGATGATGATGAGGCTGTGGATGTTGATATAGAGGAAGGACCTGACTTAGCTGATCCTGAGGCTGCTCCTCCTGAAATTAAACAGGTAAACAACATGTGATGTGCCTGCTGCATTATGCTGCTAGTATGATATCACTAGATCTGCACATGCTGTTGCCTTAACCAGGATCACCAATTCACCATTCATAAGATGCGATATCTGATTTCCATCATAATACTCACAGGATGACAACGAGAATGAACTAGGCGGCAGTGACAACTTGAGCAAGTCCGGTCAGGAGCTAAAAAAGCTGCTTTGCCGAGCTGCTGGGGAAAATGAGTCTGACGTTGACGACAAAAGCACAGATGTAATGATCACAATTCTTCTTAGAACTCACATATTCTTTCATAGGAGCTTGGATGCCTTAGCAAACCTAATCTTATGGAATAGAACTCATCTTTGTATCTGCTTTGTCCAACAGGAAGATGACCTACCATCGCCAGAACTTGCTCCAAAACAACTTGTACCCAAAAGTGAACCAGTGGATAGCAACCCTGCTAAACCAACACCATCAGCGCACGCTCAGAGCGCCACATCTTCATCCAAATCCACTCAAAAGAGGAAATCAGGGGGTGGTGATGCAAATACTTCTAATGGTGCAACCTCCAAAAAGATAAAGATAGAACCTGTATGCAGTTTCTTCATTCTGCACACTACACATGTGAAATTTGAGTTGCAGTCATATAATCATAAGTTGCACCAGGTTCTTTGCTTTAAAGTTGCCCTATTTCTTGGTATATAGGAAACCAGAACATTGGTTGTCAAGGATGAAAAGCAGTCTTCTTTGGAACCAATATCAAAATCATCTCTTTCAGAAAGAAGAGAATCCTCACCCATTACAGAGGAGGAAGTCAGGGCAGTACTTCGTGCAATTGAACCCACCACATGCCAAGATCTGGTGTTGAGGTTCAAGGCTCGTCTAATAACTCAAGAGGTAGGCTTCTTCAGCCTTTTGATTACATGTTTGTTCTCAATGCATTACCATACATTTTAAGTTTTATTACAGTAATTTGTGACTACCATTCCATTCAGCAATCCATTGCCTTCTCTTGTTATTTGCAGGACAAGAAAACATTTTCAGACATTGTGAGGAAAATATCTCACAAGAATTGCCATGGCAAAGTCGTTCTTTGGAAGGAACAAAAGTGAACAGACAAATTACTCTACCTGTATATGGTCATAGTGTTATGCTTCTATCCCAGTAGCCATCTGAAACACGTAGATTGTTTCGGAATGCAACAGTGTAACAGATTCTTTTATGGCACAGGGCTTGCATGATCAGTTTTTTTTTACCTATCCTTCAGAATTGACTGTATTGGCAACCAAGATGCTCAGCAAGAGGCATCTGCCAATTTTTTTCCCTTGTACTCTACTTCCTGCTCCCGCTTTTTTTTGCTAAATTAGGCCCTATTTAGATCTCCTAAATAATTGTGAGAGTGAGCTGAGAATGAGATGAGAAAATGAGAATGGAATCTATGGGAGATTCTTATAATCCAACCATAAGATTTTGAGAATCCAACTATCCACCTCCATCCTACTTGGAGATAATCGGTGTGAAACACCAAGATTCTTGAATTACTCTAGATTGAATTCTTCAGGAGAACAAACAGGCCCTAAATTCTGCATCGGGTAACTGAGGTGTTTTTGATATATGCATTTTGTATAATTATATAAAGTTTTCTGTGCTCGTTGGATCGACGACCCGCGAGTCCAGACCTCATAAAGCAGCTCATAACTTAAGTGATGGTTAAATGTAAAGTTTGGGGTCAATGCGTGTGACTACGTGTAGCTTTTTATTTTGACAACTCAACGCGCCGTCTTCAAAGCATGACCGATGTTTTTAGCTTTTCTTGTGGGATGTGGGAGTATATTACATTGATTAATGAACAATCTACCGTATGTTCGTGCGACAGTAATACCTTTGATGTAAGGATTATTTGTTAAAAATGAAATCAAACATCAGCAAAATTAAGAGAATATTGCAACAGGGTAATCAGCACAAACATTTTCCAATACAAGCACCGTGCCAGAATTAACAATGACCGACCAAACAGGCAAACATTCACATCAGAAACCTGCTGCTTGCCTCAAGGTATTTTTCCTCTTCTGTTCATCATCTCAATTGTAATTGCCCTAAGAGCAGCACAAACTGGACTGCTAAATGTTCAGTCAGTAATAACAAGTTCAACATTTCCAACTGCTAGTTTTTCTTGTTTCAATACGCAACGATCACCAGTTGCCAGCAGTTTACATAAAAGGGTCTGAGAACAAACCCCGTATGCTAATCAACTTCAATTAGCCCAAAGAAGCACAGAGGTCAACCAAAACAATTTTTGTCACGTACTCCATGACATTTTCACACCAGTTGTTTCTGTACGAACCATGTGAGAAGTTGGTGCTTGAAAATCATGACGACATCTCAGTATCTGACTTTGAGAAACACAGATCTTTACCAAGATTTAATCACTCTCATCACTGTGTCAAGTACCTCCAGTCTCAGTAAATAGGCAACCCTTATCTGATTTACCTATTTTTTCCTTCACATGCACTGAAGTTTTATCCTTAATATCTTAGTCTTAGAATGTGAATGGTTTGAGCTTCTATTTGTTTTCCATTTAAGGAAGTAACCGCAAGCAAAGACTAAATGTATGCATATAAAAGTAAAGGATAGCAAAAGGGGGGTGTCAAATTAGCAATCCAGTTCAATCTACAGCCTTACATGCCAGCTGAATAGCTGATGCAGTTGCAAGTCTAAGAATTCACTAAAAGAACATCTCTCATATAAGGCACAGAGCATGGGGTTGTAGTAGTACTGTGCACAAGCTTGGACTTTTCGGTAATTACTTTAAAACAGGACCCAGAATCTTTTGCCAGGTTCAGCCTTCAGAGTTCACAGTTCAGGCAGCCAATCCCAATTAAAGGTTTATGCCTAAACTATTGCTTTGTGGCACTAAACCATGCCCGCACTAGCTATGTTGAAGAAATCACGAAATGCCTTTTTCAGATAGTAAAGTGGTCTATAGTCTACTTAATATTTATTTTTCACGAGCTGTTTGAAGCAACTAGGTAGAATATACTGGCTGCCGAAAGTGAGTGTACCGTCCTAGTGGAAAGAGAAAAGTGACAGGGAACTGTGAACAGCAAAAGCTTGAAAGTTGAAATCATCACACAAGTGGATATGCTTGTTCAGAAGAAAATGGTTGTCAAAACGGAGTGAAAGTCCACTGCACTAGGGCCTGGAAGGGCACTACATCCAAAACACCCAAAGCATGTCCAAAAGGCAACATGCTTCTCTATCTCCCAGCAAAAAGAACAGGGGGAACTCCTAACCTCATGTGGTCATGCAAGTATCAAATCAACTATGATTTAATGAAGCATGGCATTCCTGTTGTTAACCAATCAACACTTAAGCATGTTGGTTGAGGAGAACACAATTCTTGTCAATTACAACTGAAAATTTTCACTAGATAGAAAGGAGTTTTGCACAAGGAATAACCAAACTAAGACTATCCAATTGATTAATGGGGCACAGCAATTCTTGTCAAATCTGAACCCAATTGTACACTTTTTTGTCCCACCAAGATCTTTATACATCAATAAATTAAACAGATAAATTAGGAGTTGAGTACAAGAAAAAACAAGCATAAGGATAGAATACTAACACTATCTTTTCATCTACCAACAAACTAAACTCACCGGCCTTTCCTTCGGGACTTGAAGGGGAATCCGCCAGGAGGTGATGGTGAGAACTCTATCGGAAGAGGTGGTGGCTCACCCTCACCAGCAAGCATACCAAGCACCTCTGTACTTGATGGGCGGCGAGCTGGTGACCTCTGAATGCAAAGGAGCGCAACAGTAATGCATAGCAGTGCTTGGTCTCGATCAACATCCTGCAGTGCAGGGTCTACAAGATCAAGCAAGCGGCCAACTTGAGCAAGATGCCTTGCCCACGAAATGAGGCTCGCTTTCTCAAACTCTGACATTGGTGAGGTTGTCATTTGGAGCGGGCGTCGTCCAGATATAAGGACCAGCAACAACACACCAAAGCTGTAAATGTCACATTTTTCTGATAGAGGCCCTCCTCCACCATACTCAGGAGCCACATAGCAGACTGTGCCACGCATGCTCGGTGTGCTGCTCACTGCTCCACCACTCTTAGGCACAAATTCCCCACTGGCCCAATCCCTGCTGCTCCTTCTCACACCGTCCACCCACCAACTGATGCTGGCATTGCCATTGGCATTGCCATTGCCATTGCCATTGCCATTGCCATTGCCATTGCTGCTCCTCCGGCTCCAGCTTTTCATCATCCTCCACCTCGAATGGCCCTTCTCCAAATCACAATCCCTCTCCCACCACTGCAAACCAGACATCGCACCAGCATCACTCTTTGACTTGGCAAGTGCCCTCCGCTTTTGCTTCTTCGTGAGCTCCTCTGCATACTCCTCACGCCACCACTCCCGCGCCCTCCTCTTTGGCTTCTTCCTCTCTGTTGGAGCAACAGGGGTTACTGCAGATGCCCCTGCAATCCAGTCATTCTTTGGTCGCTCCTTCTTGATCTCCGATCTAATCCATTCCATCACATAGTCCTTAACGCCGCCGCCACCACCACCACCACTATTGTCCTGACGCCACCACCAGTCACTCCCAGTTCCTGATCCTCCTGCACCTCCTCCATTGCAGCTTCGGGCATTACATCCACTAGCAACACTAGTCTTGTCACATCCGGAAGTGGACACGGCCTCTGCAGGAGATGCCGCGGTGAGCACCTCATCATCCTCTGGGGACTTGGCAGCATTGTCTTCCCCATTAACCATGACAGCAGCGGTGCTCTCGCCGGCCACCGACATATCCTCGTCACATCCACCACCAGGATTGGCGTTCCCGTCTGCATCGGCCCCAATGGCACCGCTCTCCAACTCACCCTCCTCTTCAGACCTGATCCGCGCGAGTCCGAAATCTGAGAGGCGGGCACGGAGGTCTTTGTCCAGCAACACATTGCTGGGCTTGACGTCCCCGTGGATCACGGGCGGCTGCACGACGGAGTGAAGGTAGTGGAGCGCGGCGGCGACGTCGCGGGCGACGGCGAGGCGGCGCGGCCAGCCGGACACCAGCTCGGGGCACCTCTTCCCGAGCAGCGCGTCCTGCAGCGACCCGTTGGGCATGAGGTCGTACACGAGCATCATCCGGCAGCGGCGTGGCTGCGTTGAGAGGGAGTAGGCGAACGGGGGCAGGATGTGGGGCGGGTCGGGCCCGGGTCCCCCTCCCCCGTGGGCGGTGGCGGCGCAGCCGAGGAGGTGGGAGGCCAGGGAGAGCTCGTTGTGGAACTCGCGCTCGCCCTGGAGGGAGCCCGCGGCGTCCATGACCTTGACGGCGACGGGCTGGCCCGACCGGGGCAGCGCGCCGCGGAAGACCGGGCCGAACCCTCCCTGCCCCAGCTTGCTCCCCGCCGCGAAGCCGCCCGTGGCGCGGCGCAGCTGGTGGTACGACAGCCTCCGCAGGTCGGCCGCGTGCTGCGCCCCGGCCGCCACGGCCAGCTTCCGGCGGCGGCGGCGGCGGCGCCTCCGCCACAGCAGCAGCAGCGCGACGGCGGCCACCAAGATCAGCGCCGCGGCGGCCGACGCCCCCGCGGCGGCGGGGACGGCGGGCGGAGCCCGGCGGTGGCGGGCCCCGCGGGATCGGGGGTCCGCGACCGCGACGGCGGCGGCCGGGGCCAGGGCCGGCGACGGCGCGGGCGGCGAGGGCTGCCGCGAGGGCATCGCCGAGCGCGGGGTGGGGTTTAGGGGCCAGGGGGCCGGAGAGGCGCAGCAGGCGGGGCGCGGAAAAGACAAGCCGACGAGGGGATGGGGAGCACGAGCACCGCAAAGCGCAGCAGCGGAGCGAGGCGAAAAGTGCGATGGCTTTCCACCATTTCCTTCTCTCGGATGCGTGCGTGCTTCACTCCGTCGCCACTCTGCTACGACGGGTTCGAGAGAGGGCGAGAGGAGGATCCGAGGCCAGCCGCTGGTCAGTGGGCCCGATGGAACGTCCGGCCCACGGTCAGCGGGATGGGTGGGTCGTGAGAGTCCACCCACCCCATCCGCACGCACAGAGTAGAGAGGGTGCCCTGTTTGGTTGGCGTGGACGTAGCTAGAGAGGGAAGGGAGAAA